CACTCCCTGCCTTGTGTCTCCCACCGGGTTTCAGGGTTTCAGGAAGGTCCCTGATTGACATCAAGGGCTAACCTCAAAGTGTGGGGGCCTGACTGCTTGCGTTCTGCAGGGCTGGTCAGGTCCAGCTCCAGGGGTCCTGCACTTGTCCAGGACCCATCCTGTGGGACTGGTGGCACGCTGTGGCTCCCAGAGAGATGGCCAGGAGGGCAGGAGAGGGCAGAGGGGAGGATCAGGGCCCCGTTCAGAGTACGGGATTCTCAGAAGGGCTCAAGTCCCAGAGGGATGTGCTACCAGGCAGCGATGAAGCAGGCCTTCCAGTTGGCAATGACCATGAACCAGGCCTAAAGAAATGCCCAGCAAGACTCAGCGGCGTGGAGGAAGGAAAGAAACAGGCACTTCCCCGCGTGCCCACTAGGTGGCAGATCCTTTCCTATGTCAAGAGCTTAAGAGGCTTCTCAAGCCCTTGGTGACACTCAGTGAGAATCCCGGGCCTGGCGTGGTGGCTGGCGCCTATAATCCCAGCACTTTGGCAGGCCGAGGGGAGAGGCTTGCCTGAGCCCACGGGTTGGAGACCAGCCTGGGCAACTTGGTGAGACCTCATCTCTACAATAAGCCAAAATATTAATAATAATAATAAAATAGCCGGGCATGGTGGCGTGTTCCTGTAGTTCCAGCTACTTGGAAGGCTGAGGCAGAAGGATCACCTGAGTCCTGCAGGTCAAGGCTGTGGTGGCTGTGATGAGCATGCCACTGCACTCCAGCCTGGGTGATGGAGCGAGACCCCGATTCAAAAAAAAAAAAAAAAAAAAGAATTCCTGGAGGGTCTGTTGAAAATGGAGATTCCGGGGCCCCTCTTTAGAGCTTCCAGCTCAGTAGTGTGGGTGAGGCCTGAGATTCTCATTTCTTTTCTTTTCTTTTTTTTTTTGAGTTGGAGTCTCACTCTGTGCCGCTCCCAGCCCCCCCAGCCTCGACCTGCTGGGCTCCGGCGATCCTCCCGCCTCGGCCTTCCAAGTAGCTGGAACTACAGAGGCGCATGCTACCACGCCCGGCTAATTTTTGATTTATCGTAGAGACGATAAATACATTTTTGATTTATTGTAGAGACAAGTTGCCCGGGCGGGCCTCGAACCTGTGGGCTCAGGCAATCCACTCGCTTCAGACTCCCAAAGTGCTAGGATTACAGGTTGAGCCACCGCACCCGGTTGAGATTCTCATTTCTACCGAGCTCCGGGTTCATCTAGCCACAGGTGGGCTCATCCCAGGTTCTGGCAAAGGAGGAGGACAGGGAGTAGGATGCAGCCCTCAGGGCTGAGCAATCGGGTCGGATTGTGAGAAAAACTCCACGGAAATGTAGCATGGAGACGGAGAACGTGGGTGGGGAGGGAGGGGCCGGGGAAGGGGATGGGTCGCTTGCTGCTGGCTAAAATAGCCTCAGATACTAGGGCAGATTTGAACTGTCGGCTTGGTGACAGTGTGTAAGAGCTCCAGATTTCTCACTGCAATTAAATATGTTACTAATTAATTCCCCAAGGATGACCATCACAGACAGGAGCCCAGGTACATGCAGATTAAAATAAAAGCAGTATTCGGACCAAAATAAACAACAAAAAATGAGATACCTACCAGAAACAAGTCTAAAGAACAAATATTTAAGAGAATTACAAACACAAATCAGTGATTCTCAGGCTACCTGAAGTGAAAGATTATTTTTTAAAAATCTGGTTTACTATGAACCCATACATGGCTCTACTGCGTGAGACTTTTACACCGCTCAAGCCACCCACGGGTGACCAGGCGAGTTTGATGACACCCATCGGGTGTAGATCCCGTTCAGCAAGAGGAATCCACTGATCATGCATTGGGGTGCTAATGGCCATGCCACATCTCTGTACAAGTTTCTAAAGAATCGTTTCTGGGCTTGCATCACTGGAAGTGGTGATAAACGCAATGCAGAAGGAACTGGTCCACGGACGCCACTCAGAGACACATGGGTCTAGCCTGGTCGGGTGAGTGGCGTGGGAGGTGGGTTTATGGCACAACTTCAAGCTGTCTGCTTGTTCTTTCAGGTCCTGTCCAACAGATGCCATTTTCTGTATCCTCAGGCCTATTTGCTTTTTATCATTTCCACTCGGGGTCCTTGGAATAGGGCTAGTTGAATGTCCTTGGATGTCTTTATGCTTAGACTTCAAGGATGATGTCCTGTACACCGCGGGCACTCAGTGGACACTGATGGGTGCACGCCTGGATTTCTGGTCCAGGACTGAGATATCAGGCATGACTGGGTGTTGACAGCCAGCCAGGAAGTGGATGGCCAGCCCAGATGGACATCCAGACAGAACTCTCCTGATAGTGACTCCATGGATGGAGAAGAGCCGACTCTAAAAAGGAAAGACCCATGAATTGTGTCCTGGCCTCACTGGGGCCTCACTACCTGTCCGCTGCGAATGAGTGAAATTTAGTTTGTACATTTCTTGGGTCATGATGTCATGGGCTTCCTGGTGGCATTTCCATGCTGGACCATGGCACAGCCTCACGCCTATGTCAAGGTAGACCCTAGTGGTTACTCCGGAAAACACAGGAGAGTTATCTTAGTTGTTTTCCTTTTAATATTAGCACCTTGAGGAAGGACTTTAATAATTTAATTATATCTTCTTATTAAATAGGACTTTCAGTGAAAGACAGTTAAATCGGGTAACCTCCCGGAGTTCTCATGCCCTGTCCCTATATCCATCTGGAGGTCCCCCCTTGCTTCATTCCTTACCAGACACACAGGGCAGTCTGAGGAATTTGTAAGATTTAATGAGGCAGAGTCAAGGATAATGATCATGGCAATAATGATCGCTGCTCTTCAGAGAGCACTGGAAGTCAGATGCTGTGCTGAATGCTTGAGTACAGTCTTCTCATCTAATTGTATTAGCAGTCCTAAACGTTTGATCAGTGATGGGAGGTGGAAGGGGGAGGATTCTAGCTCAAATATGTTAGTCTCAAACATCTGTGGTCTTTTTTTTTTTTTCTTTTATGAGTTGGAGTCTCACTCCGTCGCCCAGGCTAGAGTGCAGTGGCACACTCATGGCCACCGCAGCCTCGACCTGCTGGGCTCCGGGGATCCTCCCGCCTCAACCTTCCTTCCAAGTAGCCAAAACTGCAGGTGTGTACTACCACACCCAGCTAATTTTTCGATTTATTGTAGAGATGAGGTCTCGCCATTTTGCCCAGACTGGTCTTGAATCCACTGGCTCAGGCCATTCTCTCGCCTTGGCTTCCCAAAGTACTAGGATGACAGACAGACTTGAGTCACTGCACCCGGCCTAATATCTGTGGTCTTAATCACTGTGCTATACTTGGGGTCTCGGATCCCAACAGAGATTGTTTCTTCTTGCTTTCAGCGTGCCCCCACAAACTGGAAATTGTGGTGTGGGAATCTCTAGCTCCCTAAGGTCAAGGTGTCCAGAAAATGCTAGAGATACAGAGAGACTCCATGAATGAGTAAATGAATAACTATGGCCACCGGCTGTGAATGAATCAAACTTAGTTGATGAGGTTTTTAGGTCATGAGGACACTAGAGTTTCCTGTTGGCATTTCACTGTAAACTGACAAGGCTTTGACACTAGTCAATAAAATCTGAAGTCACAATCTGGTCATAAATGCTAAAACGAAGTCTCAAATTATATTTCAAACAGATGTGCATGCGCGCGCATACACACACACAGACACACACACACACACATGATATTCTGACTCCTTTGAAAAAACTGATTTTGTTCTTTTTCTAGAGAGCCCATGCAATTTCTCACATCTCCTAAAGAATAAAAAAGAGAGAGTCCAAACACAACCCTTTCCAAAGGGAACATGTCTAGTTTTGACTGTACTCAAACCAGAGCTCATAACATGATTTCACTATTATTTTTGGATAGCCCTATTTTCAACAGAAACAATCTGCACATTTGATTTCCCAGGTAAACTGGTGGTTCCCAGGAGCTTTCAAAGTGTTTTCAGAAGAGCTACAAGACAAGCTCTTTTGCAAGAAGGATACACATAATCGCAAGTTTACGTTCAAGTTAGGCCAGTTTGTCAACATTCTCCATCTTTGCAAACTTTGGTCGTCATAGATGGGTATATGACTGTGAGATTTTTTAGATACACAATTTAAAACTTCACCATGCATCAAAATCCTTAAAGAAAAACCAAATAGACCTTTTTGTTTTTAAACAAAACAAAACAACGCTAAATTGAAAAAGAAAAAGAGAAGTCACATGAATTTGGACACTGAAAGACACACATCGACTTCTTGGACATTGAAAGACACACCGATTTAAGAAGCCAAGATTTTGGGGAGCTCTAAGACAATAAAGCGATCAGCACGGAGACATCTGTCAGGGCGCGGGCAACCTGAGGTGAAGAACAGTTAAATCTAATGCAATCAGGAACGAGGGCCAGTTTAACTTTGTTTTTTTTTTTTCCTTATGAGGTGACAACCTTCTAACACCATAATCTCTCCTTTCAGGATGATGACACACGGATTTAACGAGTAAAAGACAACAACTTAAAAGCTCTTTTTGGAGCACGAATTGTCTATTTAGGTTACAGGTGGGCCTGGAGAGCCCATGAGCTACTGACACAACCGGGAAGAGACACACATACACATACACTTCAAAGCAAGCAGCCTCAGAAATACAGCAATGTCTGTTTCCACTCCCATCCAAAACCAGAATTACAGCCAAAACCAACAACCCTCTGCTAATTAGACAAGTAAAAATGTCTCCTCCCCCAGCGCCCTAACACAACATGGAACCGGAGTGAACTGCTTCTCTCTGGATCTCACTTATTTATTTACGTTTAAGAGCAGATCTGAAGATAAAGACGCCTCGTAGCAGAACAGCTGGGGAAACACATGGACACTGTACACGGCAAGAAATGGAGACCGAGCACGCAGTTCCAACAGGGAATTTGTTTTTCCTTGTTGAAACATGCTTGCGAGCTTACGTAAAAACCTGGTTACCTTTGCACTTCTTCTCTTCCGTCTGGAAGGTCTGGGCGCTCGAGACACTCTGGTCATTCACATCATCGTGGTCCAGGTGGAAGATGGAACTCGTCCAAGTGGCCGGGATGAGGTGCGGCGACGACTGTTCATTTTTCAACGCGCTGCGCCTCTCTGCGTGGCTCTTTCTGTGCATGCAGGCTTCAGACATTCCTACCAGCTTCCAGTCCTGCTCTCGGTCTGGACAGTGCTTTGGCTTGTCCCAGGCTGGAAGGCCATTTTCTAGAGGGTTGAAAAACACGAGATGACGAGCTGTTGGCATTGTCAAGGTTCTGCTGAGATGCAGAGTTTTGGAAGGCAAGTTGTTTCTCAATTCCTTGGGGCTGACAGTGCTCCACGGCGTGAGAAGACACAGAATTTGTCAGCCTCGGGCATATAGCCACTGCAGTTGGGTTGCCTGTCTGAGGACTCACAGTGCTCCCCCTCGTTTCAAGTGCCTAGAGAGACATGGGTTCCTTTGTGGCAAAACGGTCCTTCCCCGGTCCCACCACACAGCAATGGTCCGAGAACAAGTTGACACCCATTTATGTTACTGCTTAGATGACCATGTGAGGTCTTGAGGGTCAGGGCTGGCCGTGAACACTTTGGAGATCCGTAGGGCATAAAACACCCCGGATTCAGCCTTGTTTGACTTGGGTTTTATCACAGGCTGACCTGAGGGACACCCGGTTACTTAAGTGCGACGTGCTCACGTGGCCACACCAAGAGTGACTCTGCTATCTTACCACCATCTACCCGCTGGCCTTAAAAAAAAAAAACCAAAACAAAAAGCAACCCTGATCTTACAAATAGAAGTTTTGAAATGATATCAGTAGAGTCCCAAACTGGCAATAAGATCAGATGAAGAGAAGCTGAGAGGGCGTTAGCTGAGGGTGGGGTGGGGTGGGGGGGTGTCAAGAACCCTAATGAGAGGATGATGAACCGAGGTTTGGGTTACCAGCTGGTTAATGACTTATGTACATTACATTATTTTTTTCTATTCAATGGATAGGGGCTCAAGGGTCTGACCTCTAGAAAAATAGGAAAAGTGGAATAATATAAAGAAAAATTTCTCTTACTAACCTTCCCTGTTTGCCAATTCGACCTCTTGAATTTCTTTACTGTAACACGGACATGGCAGAAATGAGCAAGCTACTATGTGTACGCATTTGTATGCATATTGTAACATTAAAAAAACATGCTCCCTCCTCACCCGTATTTCTAGAAATTCTTAAGCGACTGTCAAAATTAGGAAAAAAAAAAGTGAGTCCTTCTTTCAAAGTGATTGAAAGACTATGGTTTATATGTGAATTTTTTTTTAAATGCCGAAATTATCAGAGGACCATGGACGCCCCCAACCCCGGTACTTAGAGACACAAGCCCATCCCGACCTGGGCATCGCGTAGGGAATTTTAAGGTGCCTTTCAAACATTTCAAATGAATTTTAAGTTATTCAATAAGAAGGCTAAAAGTGCTTTAGGTTTTCACGGGCCCCCTCTCGAAAGCTGGCAGACGTCTTCAGCTGATGCTGGTTAGGATGGCTTCCCTAAACGTGTAAACTACTTGCAGTCACTTCTGGAAGCTGCATTTATCCTTCTGGGTTTTCATGTTACCACAAGAAAGTTCCAGTGCCCAGGCATACTCTATTCCCACTGAAACAGCAGTAACAAGGTACTCATCAACACATAGTTTCTTTGTCACAGTGGCTGGAAATGCTGTGGCTTGAAATAGCTGAATTTGGCCAGCAAGCAACAAATGTCCTTGAAGAGAATCACACAGTGTGCTAGCTTTTGGGCATAACATTTGATCTTATTCAGAGAAGAGCTCTAAAAATTTGCTCTATGCAAAGGCCTGTGCCAGGCATTGTACCAGGAACGTTAAATAAACATGGCTTCTTCCTTCTAAGCGTTTCTTTAAAAAATTGTTTTGTAGTTTCCTTTTTTGGTAAATTCTAGTTTTTTAAAATTTGTGCTTTTTAAAATGTGAGTAGGAGTCTGTCTCACTCTGTCATCTAGGCTCTGGGCCACCACAGACTCAGCCTGCTGAGCTCAGGTGATCCTTCTGCCTCAGCCTTCCAAGTAGCTGGAACTATAGGCGTGCACCACTGCACCTGGCTAATTTTTTTTGATTTATTGTAGAGATGAGGTCTTGTCAATTTGCCCAGGCTGGTCTCAAACCCCAGGGCTCAGGCAATCCTCTCGCCTCTGCCTCCCAAAGTGCTGGGATGACAGGCGTGAGCCACCACGCCCTGCAGCGTTTCTATGGCTTTGGGCATTGCATGGTAAACCAAAAAGGTCTGGGCTCGGTTCTTCTGCCATTCAACCTTGCCAGCACCTGGTGCAATTGCAATACTTATTCTCACTGTCCATGAAAAGGAAACAACAGATTGAGATGTTGGGAGGCTACGTTGCATTTTAAGCTGAACATATCTATGTAGAACTCGCTCAAGTACCTGATATCCACAAGAGTTTAAAATTTAACTGAGTGCAAGGGTTAATTCTAGGCCTGAGAGATTAATTCTGTTTCTACAGACATGAAGTCTTTTCCCCTGTGTGTGTTTTTATGGTGCCTACTTTATTTTCAGGGACTCTGGGTCCAATTGCATCACGCAAAGCTTAATTTAAGTAATGTTAAAATTCTCACACTCTTTGGCAAAGCCTTTAATATTTGATATATTTTCTGCAGAAATTCTTAAAATTTGTTGTTAACTTCTGCCCCAATAGAAATTGAGAAATACAGCCAAACTGGGTAGTTACCGCTCCCTAGGGAAATGAAAGAGACTCCACCCCAAGTGGATGTTTCTCCTTAAAGCACAGCCTATGAGAACTTGCTGAGCACCACCCTTGGGCCAGCAACAAAGGAGTCTCTTCCAAGCAAGGGAGGGTATATTTGGGGCGAGGCAAGGGATAGAATTGCCTTCCATTTTCCAAAGAAAAGCAGCTGAGACGGTTTGGGGAAAGGGCTTCGTTCACGAGAGGCACTGACAAGCTCATAATTACTGTCTGTAATTACATTCACAATAATGATATTCAGTTGCTTAATCGGCAGGTTTATTGGTTGGGGCACTGCTGGGAAGCCCGGAGAGGAAGTCCCTGTTGAGTCATGGGAAAACGCAACAGGGATTTATTTGAGGAGTCTTGATTCTTACCCTCTCAGGGACAGAGGGGCACAAGAAATTCCTATTCCCCTACCAAGGAGGGACGAGGCACCCGTGACACCAGCTTCCTTCTGTTCTGCCTGCTGGCTGTGCTGATGCTGGTGAGAGCGACACATTACTGCCACCTACGTATGACCGCAATCATGGTTTTCAGTGATTTCCTGTTGTCACTATGTCTAACCACATATCCTTTGGTTCCCTCAAAACTCAAAACTCACACTGATGGGACAGGTGCACTATTGTAGAACACTAAAGACCAGACATTATCTATTTATTTATTTTTGAATCGGAGTCTCACCCTGTCACCCAGGCTGGAGGGCAGTGGCACATTCATGGCTGCCGCAGACTCGACGTGTTGGGCTCCGGCGATCCTTCTGCCTCAGGCTGCCAAGTAGCTGGAACCACAGGTGTGCGCCACCACACCCGGCTAATTTTTAGATTGACTGTAGTGACGAGGTCTCACCAAGTTGCCCAGGCTGATCTCGAACTTGTAGGCTCAGGCAATCCTCTCACCTCTGCCTCCCATAATACTGGGATTACTGGCGTGAGGCACTGCACCTGGCCAAGACCAGACCGTTTGAAGTTGGATGGGTCCTGGGCATACGTGTCTCCATCAAGTTCTCCAGGTGATCCTGATACCCAACGGAGTTTGAGATCCATGCCGTTAAGACAAATTTAAGGTGTGGAAAACAAATGATCAGCAGGGTTTGGATAAATATGTACAGTCTCTTTCTCAGACACTAATGTCTTGTACAACCTTGGAGAACATTTTCACTATTACTCAAAAATTCATCCATTGACTTGGGGTCTACTGAGTGGAACATTAAAAGTCAGATGTTAATTGGATATTATTTGTAGATTGCAGGCATTAATGTAAATAAGCGTTTGCTCAAAAAGCCTGAGGTTCTGAGCATTATCTGCGACACAATGTTCACAGTGGTGGAAGTTTTTTTTTTTTTTTAAGGAGGATTCTAGAAATGATTCTCTCTTGTTACTCATGTGACGCATGAACTCTTTGCTCTTGATGGACCACAGTTAACATATGGTCTTTCACATTCTAGACACCATCACAATTAGCCAGTTTTATTTGTCAGTTATTATGAATTAAAAAATAAGTAGAACCAAAGAAGATAGCCAAAAACAAGATAACGACCTGTGAACTGCGTCGGCCTGTGCGTCCCAAGGGAGTTGAGACCTGAATGATTGAATCTGCACTTGGTGACCATCGTTCTGACGGCTTTGGATGACACAACACTGATGTGAAAGCGTTCTTTTGCAAAAAAGAAATGAACATCAATCTTATCACCACAACGGACTCCATCCTATCTCTGGAAATTTCATTAAAGATGATAGAAAATAAATCTGTCCATCAAAGAAGGGAGAAGTATATTAAAATATTCAAGCATTTCGGGACACAAGAGCGAGCTGATACCTTAGAAAAGAGCTAAGGCAAAGGAAATGGGATTATAACAAGGTGGTAGAGAGGGTCAGCTGCGTGGGCTGGGATTTCATGGCACTCATTATGAGTGCTCAGTTTGCATGAAGAGGCTATAGTATTAGTTACTGGGACTGCAAGCCACATTCTGTGTCTGCCATGTGCTTTGCAAACCCAAGGAGTGTGTGGAGTTATCACTGTACAGCATCAGACTGCTAGGTGTGAGGTCTCTGGTTTCCATTTTAATTTTTATCTTCAACCCATAAGGTTTAGTGTTGCTGAAGTCTCGGAGCAGGTGCATATCACCTGATATTTCAGAGTCACGCAGGACAGAAGGAGGCTGATATTCAGTTGCGCATTGGCCACGAGCCAGGGACTGAACCACACACCTTGTCTTCACGCGTACCCGGGGAAGAATGTATTAATGTATTGCTCGCTGGACAAAGAGCCCAAAATCTAGACAAGGTGCGTTTTTTCACCTTTGGTGTCATTGACAGACAGGGATTGTTGTCATTATTGGCCTTAGTTCAATGAGGAGCAATTGACCTATCTAACAACTACTGTTTGGCTAGTACCTTGAAAACTATTTAGAAATTATACTCACTGCCTCAGCCAATGTTGTCACTGCTCATTTGTATTCATAACAGGGCCCCTGGTTTTGCTCTGAGTCACCTACAATCCATCATCCACAGAGCAGCCCGAGAGAGCTTCTACAGGAGAGATCGGAGTCTATTTCTCTGCTGTTTAAAATCTCCTGATGATTTTTCCATCAAGATCGAAATCATGTCCTAAGGCCTTCCGTGGCCTCCAGGGATCTTTCCATGATAGAGACAGAGAGGGTCTATCTATCCCTGTCGCTCGGCTCAGCCTCTCCCTGGCAAAGCCACCCTCCCATGGCTCTGCTCCTTCACCTCTATCCTCACACCCCTTGAGCTGCTGTGGCTTCTGCTGCTTCTCCTCTTTTTTTTTTTTTTTTTTTTTTGAGTTGGGGTCTCACTCAGGCTGGAGTGCAATGGCACGATCACAGCTCACCACAGCCTCGATCTCCTGAGCTCAAGAGATCCTCCCGCCTCAGCCTCCCGAGTAGCTGGGACTACAGGCATGCTCTACCACGCCCCGCTAATTTTTTTGTTGTTGTTGTTGAGATGAGAGCTGGCTA